CCCCAATAAAGCAAAATTTTACTTTAGTATAATTAGACAGGACTGAGAGAAGTGGTAATTTCAGGGTCACTTGGAAGCTCTGTTGGAAACTCTGGCACCACTGAAGCAAATGGCGCTTTTGTCAACAACTTCAAAATGGAGCAGGATTTTATTTATTCCGCAAAACTTGAATGCCTTTTGGCAGCGTATGTTTCAGCTTTAACTTGTTAAGCTGAATGTGTAAATCATTACATGAAATCCCACAAACCTTTTTATGCTGCTGTCTGACCAAAAGACCATAACGATCTCCTTGGCCTTGAAAAACCCAGGAGTGGTGCAACCAGGACAGAGAACTAAGAGTTTAATACTGTAGAGACACACAGGGTTTTCAGTGACTAGAATTCCTGTGCTGTACAAAGACTAATACCATTTAACTTTCCAAATGGCTCAGAGAGCTGCAGAAACCTCTGCTGAAAAGTATTTCATACTGGGGCAGCTCCACAGGGAATGAACATAGAAGAAGCCCTCCACAGGGAATGAACAGAAGCCCTCTCCAATGGCCATCAAAGAGAGGACTGCCCCAAACCACTGAGACAGAACTGATTCGTGTTGCAACCCTTCTCTCCACCAAGGCAAAGCTGTGAAGACTGGGGTCGCTGGCCTGAAAATTAAATGTACATGTGCAGTGTGGGGAAACAACTTCCCTCCACAGAACACCAAAACAACAGCCCACGTTCACCAGCAGGCTCAAAGCTCTGCTCACTGCCAAGGCTCGCTCCCAAACAGACCCTTGTCTCTGCAGCTCAGCCATGGGATGACAGCAGGCTGATGCCCCACAGGAGCCACAACTACCAAAATGAGCCCCTGCACAGTCTACCCAGCACCAAGGAATACCCAAGGCACAGCATACATGCATGTCCCATAGCACTGATCAACTGCTGAAAGCCACTGCAGCCTTCAGAGTTACCTGCAGTCCTCTGGTTCCGTGGCATTAAACAGAACAGCCTGTGTGCTGCTCTGGATCACAGCTGCTCAGAGGTATGGGCATGACTCACATCTATGGGTACCCATTTCCATATCCCAGCTCCTGGACCATCCAACTTAATTCTGCATTTAGAGAGCATAATTTGCTTTATTAGTATCACAACCCTAAATTATGATTTCACAGTATTTGGAGAGGGAAGGAAGGTTAGGCCGAACAGCTACTTGTCAAAAAACAGCTTCAAATTCTTATTCAAACATCTAAGGACAAGACTCACTTGAATTCATCCCCTGCCACAGAAATTTCACTTGGTGAGCTGCCCTGCATAAATCTGCACATAACACGCTTTTCCAGCAGGCAATATTTTGTAGGGCTTAGCATCTGACAGATACAGGCCTTTCAAGGAAAACAGTATGAAACTGTCATGATTACTTGAGCAGACATCACTGACAAAAGCAAATTTGTGCCTGAACTGTTGCTGCAGAAATATTTCAGGCAGTATTTTTTCAAAGTGAATATAGATCTGGAGGGACATTGCCAAGGTTTTAAAGATCAAAATGTGTTACTTGCAGTGCTATAATTGGATGGAAACAGTCCTCCAGATCTGAAACATCAGGTTCAGTTTGGTTTTTAAATCAAACACCACATTTCTGTAGGACCTATACATCCCAGTGCCTGTTTCCCCCACTCGGTAACAGTGAGCTCTGCTGACAGAGCCAATGAGACCGACAGGGGTAAACAAATCCCTTCTGACATGACAGAGTGTCACACAGTCAAACACTGCCATTCACATGAAAAAAAACCAACAGACTGCTTCAAATCTAACTCCACTGGAAATGCAGGGCTTGCTTTGAACTCCCATTTGCCAAATGAGGGGCAGACCAATTGCTCATTCCTTTAAAGCAGTTCTATGGAAACACAAAGGCAGTACTTAGCCTTTGGCAGTATTTAGGGTAAGGTAACCAGGAAGAACAGTGCTGTCTCCTCACTAGGATTTGGGCTCATGCTCCAGCTCATAAACAGGGCAAGGGTCTCACCCATCCAGTACAACATCACCCCACAGTGAGTTTCTGGCTGTGGCAGAGGGACCCCCAGCTAGGAAAAAACCTTCTGTGGTCTGTGCCACCTCAGACATGATGTCCTGGCATCCATCAGCCTCCAGCTCCTGGCAGAAGCTGCTATCCCAGCTCACCTGCTGGGCAGCTGGCAATCCACAGCTGTCCCAGGTTTCAGGGCTGCAGAGACACCTGCTGATTCTCAAACCCCACAGCAGCACAGTCTGGACTTCCAGCATCCCTACAATGCACTTGCTCACAATTTTGATCAGCGAGGGAGGAAAAAAAAAGGAAAGAAAAAACCAAATGAAATTAAGATGCTCTCTGACTATTTTTAGTTCTGTATAGCCCCTCAGCACTAACATTAAAAATAGATATGATGGAATGGAAAAAAAAAAAAAAAAAAAAAAAAAAGACTGCAGGGCTAAGAAAAACATTGCTCTTTTAGTAAAATTTTGGAAAGTCAAAAACAATTGTTCCCTTTTTAAGAAAACACTTTTTTTTTTTTTCCCATGCAAACCAAAATAAATGAACATTTTTTAATTTATTTTTTTAAACCTTTTTTTTGTTTGTTCCCCTGTCATGGTTTGACACTGGCACAATGCTAGTGCCCTCATGAAAATGTGATCTCTACTTTGAATGCTGTGAAGTGGAATCTAGAATAGAGCAAAGCGGGCCTAAGCTTAATAATAGGAAAAAAACTTTATTAAACTACTACTACAAAAGAAAAGAGAAAACTAAAGAAGGGGAAAAAAAACTACATAAATATTTAAATGAAAACTTTGCAAAACATTCTTCCCTCCACTACCTAACTCTAACAAACTACAGTGAGACACAATATGGACTTTAATCAGGTTTCTACCCTTTAAACAACTGATATTTAGTTTATCGAGGGAACAGAGTCTCTCCTGTGCCACAGACCTCTTAAGAAACACAGCTCTACATCCTGTGTTTCCATGTTATACATGGCACCGCTTGGAGAAAAAGTTTGCCATGGTGACTCTTTTCCTTTCTATGTACAGTGCTCTTACTACAATGCATGGATGGTCAGACTGCCTTTAGGATTTTTCTTTTTAAGGATGCTCTGCTAAGAGGGGAGAAAATAATAGTTCAGTTTTTTATTGTTTGGGACTACAGTCTCTCCTTATTTTCCCCTGGGGCTGAGGGCTTAAGAACAGAGATTTTTTTTTTTCTCTTTCTTTTTTAGGGTAAGGGGGCGCTACCACAAACCCCCTAACCTTTTCTCTGTTCACTTCACTTTTGTCTTTTTCCCAGCTGAAGCAGGTCTCTTGACTCACTGGCATCTTTCTAAAATACAGTTTTTCTTGAAGGAGAAGATTTGGTTTAGGTTGTGGCTAACATGGAAAAGTCTAGCTAAAAGCTACTCTTTGTCCCCCTCCCATCTTGAATTCTTTCTTCTAACATCCCATTTTAGGGTCTAAGGTGTCCTTCTTCTCTTTCAAACTGAGGAGGGGAAAGGAAAATTTATAAAGCTTTTATTTCTCAAGGAAGGGTTAAAAGTCCAAACTCCCAGGATGGCTCGATGCCCGGACATCCAGCAACTCCCACACAACTGGGCACCTTGCAGCAGCTCCCCCCGCTCCTCCTTCCTTGCGGCTTTCTCTCTCCCTCTTGGGAGAGGAACTCTGGGGGGGGAAATGGAGATATCTCAGATTTTTTCTACCCTTCTATCTGCAGGGGCTAGCCTGGTTCCAGTCTTTCTACTACTCTTGGGGCTTTCGGCTTACTTTTTTCAGGCCATGGGGCTTCCCTTCCCCCACCCAGCTCGTGGCTGGGCAGGGGAGACGGGAACTAAAGAGAGTGAGTTTCCCTGGGAATTTTGCTTTTAACCCCTCTGTGTTCTCAGAGGCGTGTCTACTTTCAATTGGTCAATATCTAAATTGACTTCTTCCTTCCGGAAAAAATTATCTTTCCGTGTCAAACCACGACATTCCCCAAAACAATTTACAAATACAGCTTTCAAAAGAAAATGCATGGATTAAATCCTTTTTAAAGAGGTCTGACCATCCTTTAATGGTCTTTTAATGACTGGGACTCATCTGCTGCAAGCACACTTTGCAATGCTGAACAAATGGAGAAAGCACAACCTTCAAACATGCATCAGTAAATGAATGAGAACATCTCCATCAGAATTTCCAACACGCAGATGATTTTAAATAGGAGCTTTTTGATGCAGATTTTTTTTATTCAGAATATCAATACCTACATTTTTGCATATAAAATCTCTCTTGACTTGACCATGGAGTTACCCAGGCCATCACCTCTGCACTTTCAAGCCCAAGACTTATCTTCTTGTGCCCTATTTTTGTGCTTAGTTTCCTGAGAAGGGTCCCAAGTAACTGGACGATATCTTCCTCCTCAGTTTTGGTTCACTTTGCCATTGATACTTGTCCACAACATTGACTGGAACAAGGCTTCAAGGACATGCCTAGAGAATTGTGGAAACAGGTGTAAATTTACACCAAACTTGTCAGCTCTCACTGCAGTGGCTCCATGCATGAACAGACCTGGGCGTTCAGTGCAGACAAAGGTGTCTCTGCTTTCAAAGCCAAGGCTAACTCCAAGTTTCCCCAGAGCAGGTGCTTTTCTCTGCAGGAGGCACTCCAGGTTCCTAGGGAGCAAGCTATTCTTTGAGCGCTGGAGTTACTTCAAGCTCCAGACTCACTACAACTACCAACAATTAACATCCTAAAGCAGTTGTCTGCCCTGTCTGCTCCTAGAACATTTGGTACAACCAACACATTATAAAAATTTTGCTGAGGGATCCTGATTCATCTAACTGTAAGTCACTGAGAATGTCATAATTAAAACAGGCTACCAATAAAGTCTGCAGTCAAATACCCAATTTTAGATGCATATTTAAAAACACAACAGCTCAGTATGTTTGATATGCTCTATCTCTCTCTACCAAAATCAACTAATCACGGCCAAGCAACATTGAAGTAAATGCTTAACTTCAAAGCTGTGAGTAAATCCAATGGATTTATTCTCATCTCTAACCTGCATTTAGGGAGACATGAACATGAAGCATGTCAGAACCTGTGCAATCATTTTGAGATCCAGATCCACAGATATGGCAGCAAAGGCAATTTAAATTTAATTCCGCTCTCAGTATCTACTTTCCCCACACACATGGCAGTGCTGAGAGAACTGTCCCATCTCACCTTCTCCCATGCATCAGATTTAGGGACTGTGCACTGCAAGCCAGCACAGTGTCCAGCACCCCCTGAAGCACCTCCCTAGGCAGCTATAAAGCATTCAATTGCCTGGGCCAACATCTTGCAACTACACAGTGTCCCATGCCTACTAATACCTCAAACTGCTTTGCAACCTGTTGGTAAGGAACACAAAGCACCCACTGCTGGGACACACCAGACTTTTAGCAACAAATCCCAGCTCTTTAGCCTTGCCTAGAAATAGCAGGCAGCAGCCATGCACAGGGAGTAAAAAAATAATAATTCAAAATCACAGAAGGAATTTGACCAACACATATTCCAGGTGAGTTAACACTGACATCTCCCTCCTGCATTAAAGTATTCTAGAGTAGTGATTTCAACCTTCTGCAAAGAACAAGAAACACTAACCAGCTCTTTTCTGCAGGATTATGTTTTTCTCCATCCATGACTGTCTCCAAAAGAACTGGGAGCAGTTCTTTCCTGCAGACCCTGTAATATATGCACTCAAAGTATAGGTAGTTATCAAATAAAATTCCCCTGAAACTTTGGCAACTTACAGAATCTTTTTAGGTTGGAAAAGACCGCTGAGATCATCAAGTCCAAGCACTATCAAGTCCACCACCAAAAAATGTCCCTGAAGTGCCACATCTTCGTGGGTTTTAAATACCTCCAGGGGTGGTGACTGGGCAGCCTGTTCCAATGTTTAATAATCCTTCCAGTGAAGTTTTTCCCAATATCCAATCCAAACCTCCTCTGGCACACTTTGAGGCCCTTTCTCTTATCGTAGAGTTTGTTACCACGGAGAAGAGACCAACCCCCACCTTGCTAAAACCTCCTGTTAGGCAGTTGTAGAGAGCAGTAAGGTCTCTGCTGAGACTCCTTTTCTCCAGCCTAAACAACCCCAGCTCCCTCAGCTGCTCCTCACAAGAGTTGTGTTCCAGATCCTTTCACCAGCTTCACTGTCCTTCTCTGGACATGCTCCAGCCCCTCAATGATTTCTTGTAGTGAAGGGTCCACAACAGAACACAGGATTCGGGGTGCAGCCTCACTCATGCTGAGACAGGGAGCCAATCACTGCCCTGGTCGTGCTAGCCACACTACTACTGACATGGGCCAGGGTGCTGCATGAAACTGATGCACCTCAGCACACCACTGGCTTATACTGACATGGCAGTCAACAAACAACACCAGGACCTTTCGTTACAGCATCCATCATTTTCTTCCATGGAAGAAAACTGTGCCAGTCATATCTCTTCCATTTTTGTCCTCAACCCGTTGCTGTACAGATAAGGTAACAACACAAACCAGTTGTGACAAATGCTCCACTTCCCAGAAGTTCATTCCACTTCGATGTGGGATCTGGTTTTGAACATGAACAAAAATAGGTTGGAAGGTCCTGCTGCCCTCTAGACCTCCAGTTTGCCCACGTGTGTTTTAAATGTGTTGGTCCACCTGAACAATTACACAAAACAAAATATGGTTGAAATAGTCCAAGCAGTATGTGACAGCTGAATCAAGCACAATGGTTTGTTCCAAAGTGGTATAAACCTCTTCCTGACCTGAAGGAAAACAACAAATCAGAGTGATCCCAAGAAACATCTTATCTGCACAATGGGAGACACTTGTACATATCACTTGCATTGTTCATGATCTCTGTACTCATCCATGTCCACATCCGAGTCAAAGAGGGAATGTCCAGTGTAATCTGTGTCAGGGGTTTGGGAAATACTGTTCCCTTCCTCATCAAATGTTTCTGTCCTCGAATAAAAACTGAAGTCCTGCAACGGGGAGTAAGTCTTGCTTGCTTCACTGCTTTCCTCAGATTCATACAGAGTGTTGTCATCATCATGGTGCCATTCTGGCCAAAATTTCCTCCTTATTCTTTCACAATACATAGCAAGGTTAATCAGTTCACCTGCAACACAACACAACAGATTTCAGTAAACATATCCAGCCAATAATGCTCTAACTTACCTGATGATGCAAAAACACATTAGCTGTGTTTGGAAAAAAACTGTGTAGGGCCTTTCCAAAGAAGTTTCAAAATTCCAAGATTCCATAAATCCTCTTAGCAGCCGTTTTTAACTTTAATGTAACCACATACAACAAAAAAGGGTTACACAGGAATAAACACAAATACATGTTCACACAAATAGCAAAGTAAGTATCCCAAATTCAACCTCTACAAAAAGAAATCAAGACAAGACACTAATACTGTAAGGTTTTTGTAGTAGAACTTTTTGCTTAATTGCAAACACCTGGTTCCTAGAGACAGAATTTGATCTTAGAAATGGTACGGTATGCTTATTAAATACAGTGAATGTGGGGCTTTCACCACCAGATGGCAGCGTTGACTGCAACATAAATTCACATTAAATATAGCCACTGGCTCCTACTGCTCCCAGCCTTAGTATCTTATGCCTCCTTTATGAATGCATGTATGCTTACAAAATAAACCATAAAAAACTCAAAGAAGAAAGCGAGGTGCATGTAAAACCTGTACTCATGACAGCATAAGTAGGTTGGTAGGTACAGAGAATCAACCACACTGCTTGGGTATTTCAATCTATTATCTTCTGTTTATTTTCATTAGAGATGAACTAATTCAACAAGCATAGTAATCCTTCTAGACAGCCATGAGCCCTTCAGAATTTTACCTGTGATGCCCCAGACATCAAAGGGAAGAACTGCATAGCCAATATTTATATCTCAAGTGCTCATTATCTGAGGAAAAGAGTAAGCCTGTGCATCTTCACCACAGGTTTAACAGCGCTGTCTTGCACAGAGTAGGTTTACAGGTCAGATTCACTCCTTTTATGCTATTTTACATTCTTTTCCTCCTTAGCTCTTCCCATTTTTCATGCTGTGTGGATTTACTATGAAAAGGGATGCAAAGATCCTTTAACATCTGTATCACCCCGCAAAAAAGAAACAAACAAAAAAACAACTCTCTGTGGGGAGGAGGAGTATGTTGACTTCCAATTCATGCAAAAGCGAAGTGACTCCAAAGCCAAGCTGGATTTCTTCCTTGCCTGGCATCTTCAGGAACAGCAAAGGCTGTAATTTCAGTGAGACAATAGCACTTGTAGTTCTACTATCAAGGAAAGTACTCGGCTCAGCTGAATTTGCCTAATGGCTGTTCTTCTGTTTTCTCACACATTACCCAGCATTCACTCCTTAGAAGCTTTAAGGCTTTGTCATGTTCAGCAGGGAAAAGATCAAGTACAGAAATAAAAACAATAGTTGTTTTAAAGAACAACATGAACATGAAAAAGAAAACAAATTTTAAGAGAAAACAACCTTGCAAGATACAAATGCTACATCAAATGCAAGAATAGTCTGCTGAAGTACTGGCAGTCTTCAAAATGTCCTTACAAGGCACTCCAAGTTTAAATGTGGAAAATGCCACCAAGAGCTCTTAATCAGAGATCACTTAAGCTTTCTTACCTTTGATTAGTCTCTCTGGTCGAGTCCCTGGTAATGTCCACATTGCCTGTGCCAGATGTCCAAAGACAGTGGCATCAACAGTGGAAACAGTTGATCCCATAATGTACTTCTTGTCCCCTGTAAATACAACAGCAAATATTTCTTGACTGGATGTCACTCTTCTCCAAATTAAAAGAAAAATCACAGTTCTGCCTTTAGCATATTTATTTTACTGAAATCACTCCAATGAAAAGGTTCACATGTTCAAAGACAGGGATTCCAAAGCTGTTTCTAGAGTTCAGCAAGTGAAATCTATTTACTGCAGCTCCCCCTGTGTTCAAGCCTTCTATAACCAGGCGACTTACAGAGTCACCACTGACCAAGGAACCTCCTTTGCTCCTCAGGGCTGGCAGCACTCGCACACTTTACTCATTCTGCTACATTTAAAATCTGCTCTGCAGCTACAAGATGCCTGAAAACACTAATTTTGCCTTTGGTGCAATCCCAAAGCTGCTCAACCACAATGCAAAATCATGAACTTGCTGAAAGAAGCTGGTCACAGTTTACCTCTTATCCATGCAGATCCAGGTTCAATTTATTCAGCCCATCAGCCGGAAAAAGGAAAAGTCACACCCAAATATTTTCTCTCTCCCTATTTGTTCAGGATGAAATGGATGCACCAGTCAGACCTGCAGCAACTGCTCAAAAATAACCTGCGTCTCCAGAAAGAGAGCAAATGGCAGGAGTGCACAGGTGCTCTCACACACCACCACTGCAGTGCCCTCATCCCCACTAACCCCTGACAGGTACAAATCAGAGGCATGTCAGGCACAAAGTGAAACAGCAGCCCTTTGGGACTGGCCTGGCACAGTGGAAAGAGATGTCTGCTCCTCACAGCAGTTCTGCTTACCTCTCTGATCACCCCAATATCATGTTGGTCCTAAATGGCCACTACAGCACAAACAGAATGGTAACTAAGACAGGGAAGAAAATACATGTTTCAAATCCACTGTTTGCAATGAAACATTCACTGTAGATTTGTTTTCCCATCACAGGGAGAAGATCTGGAACAAAGACCAGGCACAGAGCACACAGTGAAACATTAAGTATTGCAGAGGTCAGGTTAGCTGGTTGCACTGCTCCTGCCTCAGCCCAAAGTGCTATTAACTCTGTGAAATGTGGTACCTAATTGAATTCTCAAAATCCAGTTACCCCCTCTCCCCAGGACATTCTTCCGAGCTGCCTCTAATTCAGCAGATTATTCAATGTTAGGTTTATTGAGCAAGTCCTGAGGAACTGTCCAGTGTAAAATGCATCAAATTCCAGTGTACAGTACAAGGAATGCTGCCAATCCCTTGCGCAAGAGCACAGCAAAACAGTGCTCAGGAATATCCAGTAACAATAACCTTCTCTGGCCTGTCAGATGTCATTTGAACATGCAGTTAACTCTACCCAGCTCTTCCACAGTTCCATCAATTTAATGTTTGAAAATTCTGTACACGGTAAATGTTGTGTCTTTTCTGTATTTATCTTACACCAAACACTCATCAATCTCAAACACAGCTCAAAAATTGGTCCCTAAACCACAGTTATATGCCAGCACCAGAAATTTAGCACCATACAACTGGGTCTTGAGATTCAATCCATAGTGATGTGCTGGGAAGGAATTTCCACTGCCATTTCCATCTTACTACAATTAAATCAGGCTCTGAGTGAGGGCTAAATCATCCCACCCTCTGGTTCCCCAGGCACAACACCCCACACCTTTAGGTGCATGGAAACAAAGAGCAAGAGGAGAAAATAAAACTGTGGGATCATATAACTCCAAATCTGGTTTTAAGTCATGCTGCTCCACAAAATACAGCACATTTTCTTCCATCATTCCCAGTATGTTCTCAAAACTTCCAGTGCAACCTTAGTCCAGAAGACATTCTGATAAACTAGGTATCTCTGTGTCTGTTTTTAGGTAAAATTACACAGTGTCTGTCACATACAGGCTGCCATAGCACTGATCATCTCAAACACCTCTCTGCATACCCTGGCTAATCCAACAGAAATTAAATCACCTGGTCACACTGAACTCGCATCAACTTTGTACTGCCCAGGAATTTGAGAGTACACAACTCCACTGTTTACAAACACATGCACCAGAGGATTCAAAAGCAGCTACTTCAACAGTGGGTCAAGAAACCCCAGCAAGAAGCAGGTCTGTGGGAGACAGGCCTGCACCCTTCCACAGAGGCAGGTGCAGCACTTGCAGGCTGCTACAGGGCATTTAACTAACTTTAGAGGCTCAGATCCAGGTTAGTCTGACTTCTGAGTTTTCAGCTCTGAGCATCCCTGCCCTCCCCCAAAACATCAAATGCTTTTCAAAATCCACTTCAGGAAGCTGCTGGCCTGCAACTCCCTGCTCAAAAATCTTCATCTACCAAAGAGCCTGAGAGGCAGAGAGCTGAGAGGGCACCAACAGATTTATGGTCACTCACTTGCCTCTTCTAAGCAATTACCAAAATGTATGTTTTTATATATTGCTAATTCATGTGCTCATTCCCCACACTTTCTTACACTAGTAACAGAAAGTAAGAAACTGCTACAATACAAGGAAATTACATTTGTGGTTCAAAGACTGCAGAAGAGAAAGGTGATACCAATGGGACAGGCTGACCCATCACAGTGGGATTAGTTCCAATTTCCATGTTTAGAAGATCTGGAGGAGTCTGTCAGGAAAATGGGTATAAGGGAGACAGAAAAATCATTCTCAGAAATAAAAATAAAGAAAATAAAAAAGCACCAAAGATGGGATTGGAAATGTCAAAATTAATGTCATAAGAACTGACAGCTGCAAAGTTATAATTCTCTGGAAACAGCTCTTGGAATTAAAAGTTATTCTTCTTCCCATGTGAATGGTCCTTGTTAAAAAAGGGGAGCATTAATCTGATATTCCTGATGGCTACAGTTTGGTATGTGCAGCTATTCTGCACCATAGGCATCATTTTTAAGCTCTTAAGGTAACAGCCAAAATTTCAACTACTTTCTGTTCTGGGAAAACACTTGGGTACATATATAGGGAGGAAAATCCCACAAAGATTGTGCAGGCAGTAAGCTGACTGACTGCCTTCTCCTTCCCCCTTTGAAACAGGGGAGCCTCTTGTCAGGCTGGAAGTCTTCATCCCATCTCCTGTCCCCATTCCAGGATGCCACCTCGAGGCCACAGTTACTAGACCCTACCATAAACAGATGGCTGGAGAAAATATGAGTATAGTGATATTAATGAAAATTAAGGTAATTACAGAAAAGTAGACAAACTCACCAATAATCAAAAGTGAAAATAAAATTATTCATGTAACTGTACACTGACTAATCTGACATCCATTTCAGAGGAGAAGATGAAAAAATGTACAATATTCAGCTGGTACATTAATATAACAGGAATACAGAAAATGCCCATCAAGGCTTTTTGATGCACATTCTCAACAACAATCTGGAAATAAGAAGAAAAACTCTGCTGGTAACATATGTATAATATAATTTAAAAATTTATATAATGAAGAAGTGCTTGAGGATTTCCAGTACATTTTCCACAGAATTTTCCACAATCTGGAAATAAGAAGAAAAACTCTGCTGGTAACATATGTGTAATATAATTAAAAATTTGATATAGTGAAGAAGTGCTTGAGGATTTCCAGTACATTTTCCACAGAATCCAGAGACTGATGATAGCATTTACCTTCACAGGAAGATGATCCAAGCCACCCAGGAAGGGAGAAAGAAGCAGGAAGAGCATTTGTCTGCAGGCTAGAATCAAACTCTCATTTGTAACAAGTCCAATTTTGACCAGATTTAAAGAGTGACTAACATCTGTCAGCAAAACATGGTGGCACCTCCACCTGCTGAAATGTCGTAATTAAAACTGGATGGCTTTTAGAAAGCCAGCAAAAAGGCACAGGCCCCAAGACAGCATGCAAGCAGTCCAATCCAGAGATCTGTCTAGATGATTAAATGATCCCTTTGAACTCGAAATCTTACAAATCTGAGTGTCAGCATACATTTGCTTGTCAGAGAAGCAAGCAAATCAAGATACTTTCACAGGTACTCAGGCACACGTTTTCGTTTTCTCTTGGTAGACAGGGATGACTTTAGCACAGACATATCCACTTGCCACTCCTTTCAGCCTGACAGAGTTGTCTAGCCAGAACCAGGGGGCTCTGCTGAGCTACTAAGTCACAGACTGAACATGGTCCAGCTCCTGTCCCAACCCCACTCCTCCTTATAATGAACATGGAGCCAGGCAGTGCCAATCTCAAAACTACAATATCAGTAGTCCCACAGAGGAGAGCACTTGGAGCTGGCCACAGCTCTGCAGTAGGTAAAAGGACCAGATGTTCTCTTCTAAAGAAAGGGGACTTCTTAATCTCCAAATAACAGATCTTCTCTAAAGAGGCACTAGAATAGATAATTGCTTCTGTTAACAAATAAAATACAGAATAAAGTGCTGTCAAAAGAGGAGCTGTCAACAAATCTTCTGCATGCCCATTGTGTCCATGCCCCGCATACGCTTTTTTCCACCTTGTTCCCAATCCAGCAACTCAACAGGTTTGTTTCAGAAAATAAAGTTACTGAAAACTCTACATCTGGGTCCACTGCAAATAAAATACCTTTCTTTCCAAAACAGCTTGGAAGTCCAGAAGCATGTTTTTTCCTACCCATTCTCAGCAAGCACTCAGCTTCTGCCTTCTGCTGGGCTCTCCCCAGCTTGTTTCTGTCATCCACTCTGTACTTGTCTCTGTAGAGCGTGTCTCTTTAGAGCATGCCTCCCTGGAGCACAGGGCAGGGGGGCATCCTCCTGTCCTCCACTCAGCCACCTCTTTAAAGCAATTGTCACAGGGAAAATTACGCAGGTACCATCTCTCTTGGCTGCTCAAGCAAAGTGACAACCTGCACTACAGCAATTCCTCAAAAGGCAAGTCACACAGATGCGCAGTAAGCTTAGCTCTCAGTGGAGCAGAAGGCAAGAAGCACAGTGCAAAACAGTTCCAGTTCATATTTCAACCTGAGCCACACAACAGAAATGAGGTTCATGTAATTCTAGTAAGTGAAGTCAACCTTACAACTAATCGTATGGGATCCACCCAAGATAACCAAGAATCTTAAACACACCTATTTTGACAGCACAGAGCCATCTCTACTGGGAGGTTTGAATAAAGCTGCTGACACCAACCAAACACAACAAAGTTCAGCTCAAGAAAATAACATCTGCAAAGGATTTTTCAAATGGCAGCCTCACAGCAGTCTGTCAAACAGCTACAAATAAAAAACAGGAAAGGAAATACAACTAGGAAACAATAAATGAAACACACACAAGCCCCAGTCCACAAGAAAGGTATAAATAAGACTTTTCATTTGCAGAACTAAACACTGCATTTTCCTAATTTCATCTCGCTAAATGCTCTTCCAAAACAGCAGGCCACTGCTGTTTGATGCACTACATATGCATACTCCATGCTCAGAGAAGGAAGCCTCTTATGCCTCTAGATACACAATTTGGCAGCAAACAGTGGGAAAAGAAAACAGTGTCTCTGCCGGAGCAAGGAAGGTACTAAATGACAACCTCTATCTTCTGCCAAAATGAGATTATTTGTGTGTGATCAAGCTGTCAGGAAGTATTGGAGGTCAGTTCCACCCCGTGGAGAGAGGGGCTGTGAACAGAGGACCACAGCTCGCTGTACCTTACCCAGGAGGCCTGCCAGAGTCCGCATGTCCTTCTCCATCAGCGTGTACATCTCCTCCTCCGAGAAGCGCCCGATGCCATGGCCGTACATTTCCCGCTTCACGATTCCTTTGGTGAGATGGCAGAAGATCCACTTCAGCAAGTCGCTGAAGGGGCCAAAAAGTGAAACCATCTTTTGCGTCTCATGAAGATTTTCCACCCACTGGCAATAAGCTAAAGTCCTGGAAGGATGCAGAAACAAGTTATAGCAGTGTAATCCCCAGAGAGCCCAACATCTCCCAGCAGAGGCTCGCACAGAGGTCAGGCAGGTGAGCGCTCACTGCCCTGATGGAGAGGTAGCTTCCATAAACAGCAGACTGAGGCGACTCAGAGTGCCAGCAGAGCAAGCAAACCCACTTTGCACTACTTAGGCAGACTGCCCAGTGCTTATTCTCTCATTAAATCATGACTCACTTCAGGAGAAAACAAGATTCATGTTGAAATATAAAGTAAATGCCGCAGAATTCTGCTAAACTCTTGTAACAAAATGCATTTATTAGCTAAAGACAACTCATTGCACAGACCTGGGCAAATCAACAACAAAACAGCCCCCCGAAAAATCAGTCTTTCCCACCAACCTTTCTCCCTTCTTTCTATACTGCTGACACTTAGGCAAGCAGTAGCTTTGCTCCAACATAAATACTGAAACAGTAATTTTTCAGAAGGTTTCTCTTCAGAAACTAAGATCTTTTAAAAATAAAATATAAAAACTTAAGAAGTGGTTGTTATTGAGTTGGTTTTCTTCTGTACAGTTTCCTCTTTTCAAAATACTGATTTTATGAGAGAGACATTTCTAAAGATTCTGTTGCCTTCCATGCTTTATTGAATAGCAAAAAGTATCTTTTTAAGTCTTTTTTTATAATTTGTTTCATCAGCTTAAATTTTTGTTACCCACATGAGTTTTTGTTATTTATTAACATTACAGACAAATATATCTTGATTTTTTTGCTCCAGAAACCTATGAAAAAAGAAACATTCTTTTTTAATGTCCAGCATCTTCAGAAATTACAAATAAACCAAAAAGACCATATAGATGAACTTTTGTCACCAAGTTCAAGGGTTGCTGGAAAAACACCTAAAGGCATCTCCAAGTAGACAAGATAAACATAGAAAGCCTGCGGGGTCTCAGAAACACTGGGAATTGATACACAAACCAAGCCATTCCAAGGCTTCATTGCTTTAGTTTGGAATATGACTTCAGTTTTATCACTGTACATATTTGCAACTCCACAGAATTTCCTTAGTGCTGATATGATTCACCAAATTCAAGAAAGGAAAGTAAAAAAAACCAGTATCTCCTGGAGAACTCCTGTGATTTCTTTTAATAATGTACATTATATCAAACTCACATTGTCCACTGCAGTTCATTGCCTTCTGCTCTAACTGGTTTCACTGAAGTCAGTAACAGTGAGGTGCTAACAGTCTTTGCTGCAAATGTATAAACAAGAAAGCACAAAAATGTTCCTGCTCTGCTACTGATGGCTTTGACCCTCAACAGATTACTCCATAACCTCCGGCACTGTGTAATTATAAAAAAGCATCCTGCTGACATTTCACATGCTCCCACAACACTTCTAGAATGGGGTGTTCTGCACAGTCCTGGTTTTTCAAATCTGATGGATGAACTCAAGTTATTGAGCAGGTTTCAGCAATGCAAAGTTTTAATCAGAGACAGATTTAGCAGAGACACCAGCAGTACAGGAGGAATGTGAAGCCAACAAATGCAGTACAGAGCTACTGAAACTCCTAAAACATTGGCTTTGTCTGGATGATGTGGTGTGAGACTGCCCTGTTCCAGGAACAACAGTAAAGCAGGACTTAAGACAAATGGAAAGAAGGCTAGCCTGAAAGCGTAAGGGCACTCCATAGAGTAGAATGTTGCACTACTCATGTTTCACTGGCCTTGCAAAGGACAAGGTCTCTTCAGCAGGTACAGCTCTGAATAGGAAAAACCCTTGATGTGAACACTAGGAAACAATTACAATACTATGACTTGGGTTGGAAGAGACCATAAAAATAATCTACTTCCAACCAGATGTCCACTGCAGGGACGCCTACTCCATGGGCAGGGGTATTACCCATTAGATCAGGTTGCTCAGGGTCCCACCCAGCCTGGCCTCAAGCAATTCCAGGGATAGGGCATCCACAATATTCTGGGCAACCTGTGCCTCACCACCCTTTGTGTAAAGAACTTCTTTCTAACACCTAATTTACATCTCTCCTCTTTTGGTTTAAAACTGTTCTCTCTGTCCTATCACTATCTACCCATGTTAAAAGTCACTCTCCCTCTGTCTTATAAGCCCTGGTTAAATACTGGAAGGCCACAACGAGGTCTCCCTGGAGCCTTCTGCTCTCGATGCTGAACAACCTCAGCTCTCCTGGCCTGTCTTCACGGGAGAAGTGCTCCAGTCCTCTGATCATCTTTGTGGCTTCCTCTGTACCTGCTCTAACAGCTGCAGATCTTTCTTATGCTGGGCACTACAGAGCTGGAAACAGGTGGGGTCTCACAAGCACAGAGCAGAAGGGGAGAATCACTTCCCTTGACTTTTCTTGATGCAGCCCAGGATGCCATCTCACACTGTGGCTCATGTCCAGTTTTTTCATCTGCCAGAGCCCCCAAGTTCCTCTCCACAGTGCTGCTCTGAATGAGTTCTTCTCCCAATCTCTAAGTTATTATTTATTATTTGAATAAGTTAAGAAGAACTTGCTATCCGAAAGCACTGCTCTGCCTTGCTGCAAAGACCCTCCTTCCCCAGGATGGACCTGACCTGCTTCATCTGGCAACTCTGCAATACAGTTTAGTTACTCTGGGCAACAGGCCTGGCCTGGAGAAGGGCAACAAGAAAAAGAAGTCAAAACAAACCAGAAGAAGAACATAGGAATTCCACTGCAGTGTTTTTTAAGTCACCCCAGTTGCACAAGATTAAACCTGGCCCTATGGACTTGCCATTGTTATTGCTCACTCCAACCACACCAGTGAGCTGGCAACGCACCAAGAGTGATCAACCATGTCCAAAATTTTTTTAATTTCATAAACAGAATGAACAAGGTTTCCCACAAAGCTAATTGGCCCATACTTTAATGCAAAAATACATTTCCTCAGAGCTCGCTTGCGTGGGAGAAAAGGTCTTTGGGCCTGGAAGAGGCAGAAATCAGACCAGGTGTTTAATGACTAGGACAGCAACAGAGCGCTGCACAGGATTTAGGTAATTCTGCTTAGGCTAAACTGTCAAGCAAAAGTCTTAAGAGATCTGCTTGTCCCTTTGAATGAGCATAATTGTTACATGTCCTATATCTCAAATTTACATGGGCAATGAAGGCAGACAAATAGATAATTACAGAATTTACTTCCAAAATGCTACAGTTCTGAGTAGACAAAACAAGGAAAAGAGTAGGTTCTGATTCAGGGAGAGTTAAAAACACTTTTAAAATTGGCTTCACAAGCACTTTGTTAAAATAATTCTATTTAAGGGATCATTAATTTGTGTTATCTGACAAAAAATATGCTTCTCACCATTTAATTCCACTCATCACTCCTATATTCAGACTACATTAGTGGAGTATTATCAATATTACAAAAGGTTAGGAAATGCCATAAATTGGGTAGTCTACATACTCTTCTTCAGTACAGCATAACTACACACTTTACACTGGAGTAAGTATTTATGGGATGACATAATTATTTTAAATACTGGCTTGAATGGAGCATTTTGGGAAACATTACCATTCTCATTTGTGCCAGCACATGTGTACAAATCTTAGAGTATAAATAAAACAATAATGCATTAAAGAGCAATGCTGTGGGGGTGAAGTAAATGCAAAGTCTAAATGTAACAGCAGCTTTGGCCTCAATACATAAATCAGGCGAGAAGATGAAGAAAGTGACTCATCAACAGCAGCTTGCCTGATTATCCCAGAACTGTCTGAACTTCAAGGCAAGGGGAAGGCATTCATAAGGATGTGAACAAGGGGTTATTTTTCCTATCTGAACCTGTGCAGACCAGAATTTCTTGATATACAAAGGATTATAACAAACTCATTCTACAATCAGCTGTAGAAACCCCACCTTCTGTGCAACTTCTCAGAGCAACTGGCTTTTAAACCACCATTGAGGCATTCAAGCCTCATCACTGTTAGCAGTAGGAAAGATGCTACTCTTAAAATTGGCTTGATAATTTAATAAATAATGAATAAATTTAATAATAATAATAATAATAGTAGTAATAATAATAATAATAATAATAATAATAATAATAATAATAATAAATACATAAATAATGTATTAAAACATTATTTATATTTACATTATAAAAATATTTTATGTTCAGACCTGGCCAGTATGAAAACTGACCAAAGTCAGATTCATCTGTATTCTCATATTATGCTCTTCCTCTGCTTCAAGCATTCATCACATATGATGTTTGCTCTTGAAAGACAAAGCAAGAAACAAGTCAAATATATTTGCAAGTGCATATATACATACACACACATATATAAATCACACACATATACACACATTTATAAATCACTACAACACAGCTCAGCCAGTCTAATGGGTTAGTCTGCTTAAGCCGAATATTCAAGGCTTTATGTTCTCACTAAGCACATTAGTGTCACCAACCTAAGATGTGTCTCCTGAGATGGAAGTGACAGAAAGCATCTCACAACAACTGCTATCCCTACAGGCACCCAGGATGTGCCTGGCCCAAATCCCAGCAGTATTGTTGAGCCCAGCATGCCAGCTCCAGAAGGGAGTGAAAATCAGACCTCTCTTAATCAGAGGTCTGATTCCACAAATGTGCTGCAGTTACACCAAAAACTCAATGCATTCCCCAAAGGTGGCTGTGGGTGTCCCACTGGTTTCAGGGGGTCAACAGGTCACTGCAGGCAGTGGAGGTAACTCAAAGCAAGCCTACAGCAGATGACATAGGTATGACATAGATGACATTGGATCCAGGCCCTGGGGTGAGAGTCACAAAATTATTTCATTTCCATCTCTTCACTGCTGGCTCGCCTTAACACCCATTGAGCTCAGAGGACTTTTTTTTCTTTTGCCAACTAAACATAGCAAAAGGTTAATGGCTTACTGCCTTCTCCAGGGACTGTAGCTCCAGCACCAGCTCCAAATCAGTCTTGTACATCTCAGAGATATGGTGTAACCCCAGCATGGAAACAGGCATGCCCACTTGCTGTCTTCCTGCCTGAGCCCTGCCAGGTGCCACAGCCCAGGGCACAGAGAAGGTGTCCAGAGGCTGAGGTTTTCAACAGCCCCACACTGCTCCCAACTTCAGCCACAGCAGTCGCTTCCACACTTAAGAGGCACTGACTGCTGAAAATGAGCCACTGCCTAGGTAAAATTAAACATTTCTGGAGGAAATGCTGAGCATCCACCAGGATTAGCTCCACCCAGAGACAGCATACCGCAGGATGTACTTTTCTTTGTCCGATAAATTACTACAGTATTACTTATTTATGATGAAGCTACTTTGCATCCTGCTGGCAACGAAACAGTGGGAATCACATTATGTATCACTGCTTTGGAGGCTTGGTTTTATGTACTTTCTTCTGCAGAAAGCAAATCACTTTTTCAAATTCCTCACCATGGGATATGAGGACACCAAGAAAAAACCCTAAGCTTCAAGTGGGAAAGTTCACGGACAGATGTGAAGGGATTCCACAGCCAGAGATGCAATGCTGTCAAGGAGAAATATGGTCCTACACAGTGAAAAAGCCTGATTTTGGTCTAAGTACAGGATGGTCAAAGTTGTTCTCCAGGAATTACAGCAGTACAACTGCAATACCTCATGGCCCAGGCTTTGCCTACTACAAGGAATCTGCAAGGTACAACCTCATCAACATATCAAGCCTCTGGTACAGCCACAGGGACATACAGTAAGACTTACAGTTGGACTTTTTACTGCTCTGAAGCAAAAATACATGCCTTGGAGGAACTCAGCTCTGTGACTACACCGGAAAAGCAACAGGGATACGCTGCCATGTGTGCACAACTCTGTTCTTGATGTAACTTTGTCCACCTGTTAAAACAGGTGCCCCCTCCCAGGACCAGTGGCTGAATTTGCAACACCTGTATTCCACATTTGCCTATGTCATGTCCAGCAGTGCCCAGCCAGCTCCATGGGAGCCTAGATGGATGGACAGCAGCTACACAGAGGAAAGCACTTTGTAACTGGGATACAACAGCATTGTATAAGCCTGCCATCAGCAATGATACATTTAAATCCAAAGCTAAGTGCAGTTAAATCTATGAACCAGAAAAACAACTGACACTAAGGCAAGAAGATGAAGCATTAAGGGACTAAAAGGCTTCGTCTTCACTTTGGCAGCTGTAATAACTGAGGGTGGAAAAATGAACCCAAAAAAAAGTTAACTTACAGGCTGCCTGTATCATGTTCGGGAGGCTATGACACTGCAGATGGGTATAATTGGTGAAGGCCACACTTCTTGGAAGGCAAAGATTTAATTTCTAAACCAAATCACTTCAATATGCTAATTATGCTAAAATTGTTCTCTCAGGAGACACTAAAAATTATTTTAAGAACTACATGTATACATATTGCTGCTGATCTTCAATCAAAAGGTGAAAGAAAAAGCAGGTAAATGCATTCAATTTAAAAATCACACACTGTTTTGAAGAAAAAAACGCACAACATAAATGCAAAACTTAGTGCAGCAAGGACTTAAATGCATACTAGGAAGTAAACTACTGGGAGAAAGCCTTGTGCTTGCTAAGGCAGCAAATGCAGTGTCCAAGGTGCATGTCCACCTGATGTCTCTATGCCCAAACTGGAAAGGGCACTTAAGAAGGACAGAAATGAAAAGCACAGAGGAAACCACAGGTATTATTTTCAAAGGTGTCAGTAAAATGCATAAAGTCCCAGAAAGGTTCTATTTCTATTTTTCCATTCATATATATACTTCAGCTTCTCAGGATACTGTGACTAATACTGGACATTAACAATGGGCAGAACTGTTAACAATCCATATCAACAGGAGAATCATGTGTTACAGGAAAGGCAATGATCCATACTGCAATCATTCACACACAATTAAAATCAGTAGAAGTATGAAAACCACATTAACCACAAACACTGGATTCATTCCTCTATGCCCCACAAACCACAAATACATTCAGCCACCTTGATCTCCTGGTCTTCATTAACAAGGCTGCTCCTATACAGAAGTCACATTGAACAGAGGAGCACCCCACTGCTGCTTCCTTCTAAAAATCTGCAAATGGCCTGACTTCACCTTGCTTACACACCACAGCTTTTCAAGAGAATTATCCCTGGCTCATACTAACACACACATAAAGGAGCAGCAGTTTCCTAGGATGAAAAGAGTTGTGAAGTTAATAATCGGGTACCCAAGGTTTCTGCAAGAGAAAAGAAGCGTTCATGTCGAAGCCCAAGCTCAGGGACACATCTGACAGCACAGGAACACAGCCAGCTTTGCCAAGCAAGCTTACCAGTACAGGTGCTCCTCCACCATTTTGGTCACAGCTCTGGAAACAGCTCTTTCATGAGGACCAAGGTGTTTATTTAAATTCACTCCAAGTTTCTCTTCCAAAAAGTCAATAATAAACTCGGTGCCAGATACTTTCTTGTGATTGTACTCAATCCAAGGCATTTTCCCTTGAGGAGAAAGTTTTCCATCGAAATAGTTCTAATGAAAAAAAAATCAAGTAAACAAACAAATATACAGACAAAAAAGCCCTTCACATCCTGTTTGAATGAGAATAAATATATTTTAAATAATTTTCTGTGTTTTTAAAGAAACAAATCCACAAATCCTTTTAAAAAATAATATTCTAGAGTTGCAATAGCTATTCAATCAGAGCAGCAGCTTTACCCTCCATGGCAATTCGGATAAAATTATTTCCAGGCCCTGCAAGTTGTTCCATATTTTTATGCTGAATGTCATGTGATATAATATTATATAAGTTATATTATTTATTATTTTAATACCCGGGTTATTTAAGGGTTGGAGATGTTCAGATCTCCCAGAAGATTGTGCCCATTATTCTAATGTTTTAAATCACAGGGCTCACAACTAAATTCAGTTCCTGCGTACATATGCACTTTGCATGTTAAAAGTAACTTTTAAAAAATAAATTCACTACTCAACTCAGATGGCTGCATTACCTCCAAGGACAAAACACACACAATCACAAATGTGTATGAAAGGCATTATCATTCCCTCCTGAGCAGAAGGGAAATCTGCATTCTGCAACTTCAAAACTTAGAAACCTCAGACATTTACACACATACTGATTACAACTGGGTCTCCCAAGAGCCCAGCACAGCAGAGGACAGCACTACTGCACTGCTGAATGCTGCTATACCTGCTCAGCACAGCACTCACACTCTGAACATCTCCAAAGCAGCAATGTGTTTTTCCCATGACAAGGTGGAACACAGAGATTAGAGAATTTCCGTATCATGTAACAAACATGAGACAAAGTGCTGGCTGCCAAAACATGATCAGGCATTTGTCTTCTATTCTCTTACTCCTGAAGGCAGAGACACTTTCCTTTCTTGTGACTCCCATCCTCGCATCCTGTTATTTAGTGAATGAAAGCTCCTAGCACAGAAAGCTGAACAGTAAAGGCTCTGCACTCAATCTCTGGCAGTCACCCCGAGAATTTCAGGACCTAGCTCCTAATTGCTGAAGGTTTAGGGTTTGCAGCTCTGGATTGATCTGTTTGGGTGTCAAGTATTTATCCTTCCTGAATCCACTTAAGATGGATTAAGGTGCTCTGGCAGCAAGGAACATACACCAGAACACGCCTCCTGCTCAGTCTGAGAGTGCCACTCCAAATGTAGATGTGCAATGCACTGGGATCACGCAGACATTCCCAAAGGCTCTTCCCTTCCGGATGAAAACAAATGGGTATCACTTCTGGGAAACAATGTGTTCTGGCTACAGCCTCTTCCAGGGCTTGTGCCCAAACAAACAGCATGGTAGGGACACTGGATGATATGATGTCTCACCCAGCTCAAGGGTTTGCAAGGGCAAACAAAGCACCTGAATCCCTCCCACGCGCACATGTGGGTGACACGGGAGCCAATCCCATGGCACAAGCTCTAAAACTGCTGAATGTTTGAAACTGAGAGCACTGCCCTGTCCTTCTACCTTCCAAGACCTTTCCTTCATCAAAAATGGTCTTTCAGCACTGAAACTGACTGATACATTTCCATAATTTTTCACTATGACTTTACTACAGAACTACACAGCATGTTTCCTGGAACTACACAGCATGTTTAGAAGATCCTGAGCATTGCTGGCTTTATTTTCATTAAGCCCTACCATTAAGACCTTTCTCTTCTTGTGCACAACCACTGCTGGTTTGCAGAAGCTACTGGACTTGAAGATATGCTCAGTACATCTTGCAATTACTGCAGTCCATACCATTTGCAACCCAGAAAAAAGCAAATTATTATTCAGCTGCACATTTCTTCAAGCACATATATCTAATACATATAAATACATTGCCCAAAAAGATTTTTGTGTTTCATTACATACTGTTTATCAAACAAAATAGGAAATATCTTTCGGTGACCTGAGAAAACCTTAGTCTCTTGAGAAATCTGTTATACTCTTTTTGTATCCACTGTTCTCAAACAGACATTTTTAGACTTGAAACCTCTGTATTCCTATGGCTGATACTAATTGCTATCAAATATTTATCAATTTTCCACTTGAAAATTGTTCTAGATGCTAAGCAAGAAAAGCTACAGTATTATTAAAAACCAAAAAAACAACCAAAAGAATATCTCTTTTCATTCACAGTACATTAAGTGCCTGCAGAGCAACAATAACAATAGCTCTACAGAACCTCATTCATAAGAAATCTACAAAAAGAATTGCACAAGGTATTTCTAGGGTAATTTTACTGCACTATGCAGAAGAAATTAGGTTTCACATTTTCCATTACTCCTGTTTATGATTTTACGTTCACTCATGTCTTTTCCTAAGGAAGATGCCATTTCCACAGACCTGGCATGAAAACAGCACATTCCTGCTGTGCTAATTATTTATCAGGTTACATAACGGGTAAGCTCTTCATATTCTTGAGAAAATCAAGGAATACCCAAAAGATCATGATGAGCACACAGACGGGGCTCTTTCAAAGCAAGCTTTACCAAGAAAAGCAACAAATGTTTTGAAAACACAGCTAGGGATTATGATAGCCCAGTTGGGGTGGGACTGCCCAAATCACTTTTCTTGGAAACTCACACATAAAGAGGCACATTCAAGAAAATGTAAGCACGTGACAATAGCACATGTTATAGGAGAAATTCAGGTGAGAGTAAGGTAGGAATATGTCACTCTACTCCAGCCCTCATGTGCCATTAAAGCACGCTGCACAACAAAAAGCCCAATATTCAACAGTCTGATGCACCACAATAAACACAATGAATCAAATGTGTAAAAGCAGTCTGAGCATCCCACTGTCTTCTCTTCACTCCATTTCAGAGCCCTCCCTTCAAAGCAGTCCCTCCCCAACAAGGTGATGATCACAGCAGGTCTCCTGGGATGAGCACCAGAGGCCACCTGCAGCACTTCTCCATCACGGGCCCTGACAGTGTGCAGGAAGCAAGGTGTTTCCTTCTGGATCCTGCTAAAGCCCCCTACACAGCCACTCTGCTGCCTGCCAAGTGACCATCAGGTGCCTCTGTCACCTACAGCATCCTAAGAGTAGCACAGTCATGAAGGAACAAGATAAAAGTCTACAGGAAGAGTATAAGAGACTCCAGCCAAGAACAGTGCCCCCTTCAGCTCCCCTCCCACTCAATCCCACAGCAGCATCCATACTTTCCTCCACCTGCCAGAGCCCAATGCAGCACCACATTCCTAACAAAAGGACAGAAACAACATCTGCTTCTTCCAGAAAAAAAGAGCTGTGTCCTCAGCTCATAAGCTCAGCTCCACCCAACTTACTTCTAAAACCCTTCAGAGGGTCAGTAACCCCACAAGCACCTTAAGCCCGTGTAAGCCAGCACAGGTAAAAGCACAATCCTGGTGTTTCCAGCATCCGCAGGATCCATTCCTGCTCGTACAAAATGGCACACACAGCATGTGTGGAACAAAGCTGAGTTAAAACCAAACAGACTAAAATGTCATGGCTCTAGCTAGGGCAGCTCTGGTCAGCCTGAGCTGCCAAAAAAAAGCATTTGCAGGAAGGGACAAGAGGAAGCGGCTGAAAGATAGGAATGTTGTTTCTGATGGTCTTATCAGTTTTGTGTACTCACAGCTAGTGAGAGACATGCAACACCAAAAAGTAATGCTGACCTTCAGTACAAAAACCCTCTGAAAATTCCTCTCTCCAAAAAGCTGTGTGATTTCTGACCAGCATGAGCTCTCCATCCTGAACCACGCAAATGCTGTGTTATCTTTCAGAAGTGACCATGTCCTGTCAAAACCATCTTTTATAATGCAGCTTTCATTAGCTACTCTCCAGCAGAGCAAACCCAACCATCACAAACCTTTGAACTGAATCAGCTGCCATTAGAAAGAAAACAGATCACACCAAGAGAGTCATCCCCTCAAACGTGCAATTTCTACACAAATTATTTTGAGGAAAACAATGTGCACGGTCTTCCTGCTCCAAGGACATGTTCAAGCTACAGAATCTTTCAAGTTCTGTAAACCTAAAGGAGGAAAATACATCCCTCAGGATGGAAGTCTTCCTCTTCAGTACTCCCAAGTATCTGATTCAAGTACCACTGAATTGTAAGAAAACATTAAACTCTGGCTTATAAAGAATTAAGCAAAATGTACTGATTAGATCTTCTTTCTCTTCCAATGTAAAGGAGTTTAGCCACATAAGAAGCTAAATAGCAATGAAAAATGCATTTTTAAAAAGTTGCAATGGGATTGGATTTCCACTGTACAACATTTGACTTATACAAAACATTCTTTCTAACACCTTGCTATGGAGTAAAATGCCAAACTTATATTACTGAGGAAAAAACAGAGGGAGAAGAAAAAAG